AAACTATCTTATATTGAAAGAAGAGGTCCTAAAGGACTTTGTGAAATTCTATTGCCTTTTTCTTTTCATGTATATTTGTGTTGTTCTCTCTCATTTTTCAGTTTGAGTAAGTAAAGAATCAATGAGTAACAATGAGACCTCTGCTGTGTTCTTGTAATTGGTATAGTTTTTGGGGGGTGAGAGTATGTGAGGAGAGTATATATTTCTTCTTCTTCTTCTTTTTAAATTCTGCTTTTATTTCTTTAAACACTCTCCATACATTTATTTTATACCCTACATTTAATAATTCTCAACTCAGAAGTTCGGAATCTTATTCTCCTGTTTAGGAAAGAGAGGGAAGACAATTAAAAATACATTATCTCATTTTGTGGTTGCATTTGCCCCCCTGTGTTTTGTAACTTTGGAATATGAACTCATAATTATGTGACTTTGTGTCTGAGAACTGGGTTATAGAAACCTGGTGAAGGATCATCATTTTCCATTATGATAGCTAACCTGAGTCTTTACTCACTGCTATGGACTGAATATGTCCTCCAAAATTCATATGTTGGAATGTAATCTCCAATATGATGGTATTTGGAGACGAAAGCTTTGTGAGGGAATTTTGTGATGAGGATGGTGCTTTTGATCAGTAACCTTACAAAAGGAGACCCAAGAGAGCTTGCTTTATGTCTTTCTCTCCCCTTCTGGCCCTGCCATATAAGAATACAGTAAAAAGGCAGCTGTCCATAAGCCAGGAAGTGGGCTTTCACCAGACACCCTATCTGCTGCTGATTTGATCTTATACTACGCAGCCTCTAGAACTGTGAGGAAAAAAAAAATGTTTGTTATCTAAGCCACTCTATGGTGGTTTTGTTGCAGGAGGCAAAACTAAGATGCTTGTTTACACTTGATTTAGTTATATAAGGCAAGCCATACCGTCTTTGGCTGCCCTTTCATCTTATCCCAGGTTAAGGTTTACTTAACTTTTTTTACAAATCCTTTAGGTCAGAGCCTCTTCATTGTCATTCTGGCCTTGCTAGTGTTTATGGTTATCTACTTTCCTGTGACTGTTAAGTGCTGTCACCTTGTCTTGGTACTACAGAATCGTATCACCTTCTCTATGGCCAGCACCACTATACCACAGATGGTGTGCACCTCCTTAGTTAGTGTGCATGGATAAGAGTACTCACTTTATTCTGCTGAATAGGGACACAACCCTGAACACTTCAGGGTACTTCCCTAGTGTAAATAAATGGAAGACTTTCAGAATTTAGTCTGTTTTTGTGGATTTAAAAGAAGACACACAATCTTAAGACTTCTACCCCAAGAAGGAGCCAGAGGGAATGGAAAAGGAATGCATCTTTAGGAAAGGTCTTAGAAACCTACCAGAATCACTAGCTGGGCTGACAGTTGAAGACCTTTTTTTTTTTTTTTCCTGAAGCCAGTCAGTAAAGACGGAAGGAAGTGACAGCTTCCACAAATGTGAAGACCCTAGCAATGCAAAAGTCCAAAAACTTAAAGAAAGATGACATCACCGAAAAAAAATAAAACTCCAGGGTCTGATAATAAAGAAATGGATATCTGCATGTCTGACAAAGAAATCAAAAACAGTCTACGTAAGGAAGCTCAGTGAGCTGTAAGAAAACACAGATAGACAACAAAACAAAATCTGGAAAACAGTACATGAACAAAACAAAGTTTCAAGAAAATGATAGAAGTCATGAGAAGAAACAAACACAAATTCTGGGGCTGAATAATGCAATGACTTCATTGAAAAATTCAATATAGAGTTTCAACAGCAAATTCATCAAGCAGAAGAAAGAATCAGTGAATGTAAAGACATAATTTGAAATCATCTAGTCAGAGATAGAAAAGCAAGAACAAAATAAGGTGTGGTGAAATTCTATGGGTCTTATGAAACACTAATAAACAAAATAATGTAAGCATTATGGGAGCCTCAAATGGACATAAAAAAGAAGGGAGTAGACATCTAATTTAAAGTAATAATGAGAGACAACTTCATAAAACTTTGGGGGCAATGAGTATGGAGAATTAACATCAAAATCCAGAAGCCCAAATACTTGACTGACCATAAAGGAATCTTCACTGAGATACATTATAATCAAATGGAAAAGAGAGACTTTTAAAGCAGGAGGGGATAGGTGACTCATCACATATAAAGTAGCCCCACAAAACTAGAAGATTTCTCAGCATAGACCTTACAGACTAGAGGAGTGGGATGATATACTCAAAGAGCTGAAAGAAAAAGCTTGGCATGGAAGAATACTTTACTTGACAAACCAGAAATAAAGATGAGTTAATAACTTTCCTTGAAAAATAAAAGCTGACAAAATTTGTCAGTACTAGACCTGCTTACAAGAAATTATAAAGGGAGGGCACCTAGGTGGCTCAGTTGTTTAAGTGTCCCAGGTTCCTGGGATGAAGCCAACGTTGGAGTCTCAGCTCAGTGGAGAGTCTGCTTCTCCCTCTCCCTCTGCCTGCTGCTTCTCTTGTTTGTGCTCTCTCTCAAAAAAAATAAATAAAATCTTTTCTTTTTTTAAGATTTTTTAAATTTATTTATGTGACAGAGAAAGATCACAAGTAGACAGAGAGGCAGGCAGAGAGAGAGAAGGAAGCAGGCTCCCTGCTGAGCAGAGAGCCCGATGCAGGACTCGATCCCAGGACCCTGAGATCATGACCTGAGCCCAAGGCAGAGGTTTAACCCACTGAGCCACCCAGGCGCCCAAAAATAAATAAAATCTTAAGAAAAGAAGAAATCCTAAAGGGAGCTCTTCAAGTTTAATGACAGAATGCTAATGAAGACATATGAAAAATATGAAAAATAAAACACATTGTTAAAGGCAAATACATAGTTGAATTCAGAATAGTCTAATACTGTAACGGTGTTGTGTAAAGCACTTTTAACTCTAAAACAAATGTCAAAAAGAAAAGGATAAAAAATAATTATAGTTATAATAATCTGTTAGTGAATGCAAATTGGTATATCAATAAAATAAAAAGGGGAGAGAAGTAAAAACATTGAATATTGTATGTAACGAAATTAAGTTGTAAGCAGCTTAAAATAACCATAAGGTGTTTCATATAAGCTTTAGTAACCACACACACACACAAAAATATCTGGTAGACACACTAAAGATATAGAAAAAGGAATTGAAGCATATTGCTATGAAAAACCAGCAAATCACAAAGGAACAGAAAGAGGAAGAAAGGAACAAAGGAACTTCAAAATAGTCAGAAAACAATGAACAAAATGACAATAGTATGTACTTACCTATCAGTTATCCTAATATAAATAGAAAAAATTCTCCAATCATATAGTATATAGTAACTGAATGGATAAAAAAATCAAGATTAAACAATATGCTACCTGTAAGAGACTGACTTTAGCTCTATGGATACAATAGTCTGAAAGTGAAGGGGTGGAGAAAAGTGCTCCATTCTAATAAGAATAGCTATTCTTAATTTAGAGAAAATAGACTTTAAGTAAAAAAAAATGTAACTAATGGCAAAGAAGGTCACTATCTAATGGTGAAGGAGTGAATTCATCATAACACTTGTAAATATTTATGCATCCAACATCAGAGCACCTAAATATGTAGAGCAGATAGGAACAGAACTGAAGGAGAAATGGGCAACAATACAGGGTTGTAGGGAACTGTAATACCCCACACTGAAAAATGGATAGATCATTTGGACATTAAATCAGTAGGGAAACACTGTACTTGAACAACACTGTAGACCTGTAGGCCTGACAGAGATGTACAGAACGTTTCTTCCAAACACAGCAGAACACTATCTTCTAAGCACACACAGAATATTCCAAAGGATATATCATTGCTTCAAAAGAAAGGTTTTTATAAAAATCACTTCAGTAAATAATTTCTCAGAACCCAGATTTGAAGTACATTAGGAGTACTTTGTCAGAAACTATGTAGACCCTAAGTGAAGGAATGCATGTGGATCTCAGGAACTATGGAATTAGAAATGAGTGAGGTGAAGCGTATCATTATCTATCTTTCTGCTTCTTGTTCATTCTTCCCAAGATGGGCATATTAATCAGTTCCTCAGAGAAACAGAATAATAGAAGGAGAAGGAGAGAGAGAGAGAGAAGAAGGAGGAGGGAGGAAGAATTGAGGGGGAGAGAGAGATATTTATTTTAAAGAATTGGCTCACATGATTGCAGAGCCTTGGCAAGACCAGAATCTGCAGGGTGGGCCAGAGCTAGACACCCAGAGAGCACAGAAGTTTGAGTCTGAGGCAATATGCTATAGAACTCACTTTCCCAATGGGTCACTCATTTTTCACTTTGAATGAATGGACAAGGCCCACTCACTTATGGAGGGTAATTTATTTTCTGAAAGTGTACTCATTTAAGTGTTAATCTTATTTTAAAAATTACTTTCACAGAAACATCTAGAATATTGTTTAACTGAATACCTGGGAACCATGTCCAAGCCTGGCTGACACATAAAATTAGCAGTCACAGTAGGAAAAATGGGGGAAAAAAAGGAAGAATTATTCCTCTGAATCTGGTTCTAAATTTTCCTGAAAGTAACCTCATTTGTGCAACTAGGTGAGGCCCACCACTGGATTAAACAACTATAATCCTGGGGGTGGCATCAGGAGAAAGGCCAGCTCATGTGAGGTACCCACAATGGGCCAAACCAGTGGCTAGGAAAGAGGTGGAAGCAGGGTTATCTTGGACAAAATGGTGATCAAGTGTGCAGTATAGTGTCCCAGAGGCAGGAAATCATTGATTAAGAAGTTATAATGTAATTTTTAATTTCTACTTAACAATGGAATAACTTCTAATTTCTGTTTTGCAAAGCTTTTCATGGAATTCAGTTACAATTAACTGATTTTCTATCATGGTGTCTGTAAGATTTGTGGATACATAGTGGTTTGTACTTTTAGGCACCTAAAATTGATTTCTTTTATTTTTCTCTAAATATTTTCTAGCTTCAACATAGAGTTCATCTGTGAACAGAAAGCAAAGGATGCTCGTACCTCCAACAGAAGGTAATACGATTTTTAATTTTTTTCTAGAGACCAGTACTGAAGGGGGGAAGTGTGGAACTTCTTTAGAAATATATCTGATGGTCTGGTCATGAGGCCAGGCTTGAGCCCAGTTGAAGAGTGTGGTGAACTGAATGCTGCAATGTGGGGGACCCGGTCCTCCTCCCCCGAGCAGTTCAATTCCATGTGAAGATTCTGGAGTTCTCTCTCTATCATGCCCTGTGCCAGGCTTTGTGGGGAACATAGAGATGAGCAAGGTGAGCTATACTGTCAGAGCACCCAAGGGGCTCAGTTTTGTGGGGAGCCCAGAAATAAACACAGATGCCATATAAAGTAGGGGAGATAAGCCCTCACATAAAGTGTGTGGGAATGTAGAGGAGGGAGTGTGAGCACCAAGGCTCTGGGAAGGCTTCAAGGAGGAAGCAGCATGTGAATTGGCTCTTAAAGGAAGAGAAACATTTTCGTAGACAGAAGTGCTGTGCAAGCATCCCAGACTGCAAGGACCAGAGGGAAGACCTAGATATGCAGTCATGCTTGCTGTTTCCTTTCTCAAGTGTGGGGGCAACAGAGGGGTGATAAGATTGCCAAGGTGAGTCAATTTGAAAAAGAGGAATTTCAAAGCCAGCACAAAGACATGTCAGTGTTGTCTTCAGGCAGTGAGAGATTTCTGAAGGGAGTCAGAGTGGAGGGGATCACCCCTGTGTTACAGAATCCTGGACCTGGCTGCAAGGTAAGGTGAGAGCTGAGGAGAGGAGAGTTTTGAGACAGAGAAGATGGTAGGAGTCTTTCTGTAGTAACCCAGGTGTGGTGATGGGGTCTTAAAGTAGGGTATGGCAGTGAGAAGAGAAAGGAAAAAAAGGGATTTGTCTGTGTGCAGAAGGCTGCAGGAGACTGGAGGGGAGTCAGAGACACAGGATGCAACAACGCTGGGACATCGCTGCTGTTCTGGAGCAAATATGAGAATCTACCTGCTGCCCCTATGTGAAGGGGGAGGGGAAGTCACCATAGCTGATCACAGGGCTATGTGGAGATTATATTTGTTGGACAAGGGCCAACCCATTGAGTGTGGGGGAGGGACTGGGCATTGACAAATTATCACAACAGGTATGAAAAGAGGAAGAAGAGGATTAGGAAAAGGTGAATAACAGCAATCAGGTAAGAAGTCTCATTGAGAGTGAAGGAGGAATGCTGGAGGGTCACAGAGCAGAGCAAGGAGAAAGAGCAGAGACTACGCATGGTGCACGGGATCCTCACTGATGAAGCTTCTTGACAGGAGATGGTGCCCTTGTTAAAATGCATATGTTTGATTGATCAGGCTCATAGGTTCCTTTAAAATAATAGCACCAGATCTTGAGAATAAGTATCAGGCAAAATATGAAAGCCTAAGATTGCTCACAAGCTGAAGTGCAGAGAACACTCTCAAACTGCTTCTCACCAGCCTCTTCTCTTTCTGGGTTCATCTTCTGCATCCTGCCCTCGGGCACCTGTGTGCTCACCCACACCCACCTCTAGCTGATCTCCAAGCCCCTGTGTTGCTGCTCACCTTTAAGCTTTGGCCACGTTGCAGGGTCCCTGTGCACGGAGTAGGGACACACTTGCAGTGGGGGAAGGAACATGGATTCAACTGCCTTTCAGATCTGCTCTAAAATCCATCCCCACTTGCTTCCTATAGCTATGGGATCTTGATTTAGCTGTGAAATGCAAGGGCTTGAGTCCATCACAGAAGAGGCAAATGAACCAAAGGTGGAGAGGAGAGGAGAGGAGAGACCACACATGCACAGTTTAGCATTAGGAATTTCATCCACATAACAACTTTGCTCCACCTCAGCTGGCTCTCCTCCTATTAAGGTGATGAGCTAGCTGCCACTTACCCGGGTTGCAGGTATGTTGTACCTGACACCCTTAACCCTCTCTCAGCAAAGCCAGTCATGGATGCATTATGAGTATTCATGGGAGAGCTGGAGCTTCTAGATTGGAGAATAATTGTAGGTTTCAGGGCTAACTTTTTACACTGAAGATGGGCAAAAGCAGTAACCTTCTTCATTTAATCCTCATAATTAGGTAAAACATAAACAAGATCTGTAAACAAAGTTCACAGTTGGTCTGTTTGGCAGTATATGTGACACTGAATAGGAAGGAAGGAAGGAAGGTTGGTTTGTTGATTTTACTGACTTTGTGAATCTCCAGATAAAGAATAGCTTAAGGAAGTCCAGTTTGTTCAACCCGAATGCCATGTGATAGTTTTTATTTGGGTTTGTCCAAATGGGTACCCTTCGGTATAGGCATTTCATTCTGATACTACCGATTTATTGTCTCTGATCAAAACTTAGGAGGAGGAAAGCACATCACCAATTTTTCCACTTTCTGTGGAAGGAGCATGAGTTATAAGATAAGTCCAATAGCTTCTTAGACTGAAGGATTAGATTTAGATGACTTTGTCCTTTAATTTATATTGTGTTTTCTTGTTTTCAATAAAACTCCTGAGGTTATTTTAAGCCCTTAAAATATTTTTCACACATATAATAAATGTAGCTTATCTAATAATACGAATATAGGAGGAAAACAGGTTCATCTTTGGATTAGGTTTAATGTGTTATACACATTTTGTGTATGTTTAATTTTTTATGTAAGCCTAATATTTTGGAATAGGATGACCAACAAAGTCATGCTTTAGTACACTTTATATAATATCTTTTGGAAAATGTAACACTTGAAGGTTTGTCTGTTTTTTTTTTTTTAAGATTTTATTTATTTATTTGACAGACAGAGATCACAAGTAGGCAGAGAGGCAGGCAGAGAGATAGAGGAGGAAGCAGGCTCCCCATAGAACAGAGAGCCCAATGTGGGGCTAGATCCCAGGACCCTGGAATCACGACCTGAGCCGAAGGCAGAGGCTTAACCCACTGAGCCACCCAGGCACCAACTTGAGGTTTTTTTAATTAAGATTTTCTTTCATCATTCTCCTTGTGTGTGTGTCCAGGTAACACTTTTCTGTCCATACCTGTGGATACAAAGGCTGTGCTCCTTTGTCCTCCTGACAACTCCACAGCTTTGGTGGTAACATGGACAATAAGCCCCAGAGACCAGCCTCCCTGCACTAGAGCCTACAGGAGAGATAACAATGAGACCAGTGAAAGAAACTGTACTGATGTGAGAATATCCTGGGAGTCCAGACCTGATCAGAATCCTGCCCTTCAGATTGACCCCGTGGCCATCACTCATGACGGATATTACAGGTGTGAAGTGGCTGCACCGATGGGCATTTCAGTCATACATATTGCCTCCGCGTGTTAGGTAAGGAGCGTGTTGTATTGTGGTACATCACATAACCAGATCTGAGACTGAATCAAATGTGTCTCTGTATTCCATACCCCACGTGTTAAGCCTGAAGCATTTTCCCCTGCGTCTCTGCAGTGCCCCCCAAGGTGACCCTGTTTCGAGGCAGCAATGGAACTATCATGTGCAGGGCAGCTGCAGGGAAGCCATCTGCACAGATCTTCTGGACCCCGGGGGGAGATTGTCACACTGAGGAAGAACCGCTGGGCAATGGTACAGTGACTGTCCAGAGTACATGCCACTGGGAGGACCGCCAGGTATCTAATGTGTTCTGCTCTGTGTCCCATTTGACTGGCAACAAAAATCTGTCCTTCAACTTGAACTTCAACTTGAATCAAGGTAATCACCTGGGTTTTTGTTTCTGTTTGTTTTTTTTTTTGTAGAGTAATGAACTTGATGCTTAGCATTTTCTTCCACAGATTATTAGTAACCAAGAACAAAGTAAGGAATCTTGTACTACTCATTTGAAGATATTCTCTAAAACTTAACTGGGTAATTAATTCCTTAGTATGCTAGGGAAATAATTCCTATTCCTTTATCAAATAAAAGAAATTAATTTAATAACTTCTTATCTCTACATTCTCTAAGTACCTTTTATTCTGGAAGCCACAAAAATTTTGTTAACTTAATATCTATTGATTTTTACTTTGAGATTAATATTCATACAAAATGGCAATAATTTTATATAATATAACAATACTGATTCTGTTCAGACAAGAACAATAATTATTCCTTTCTTGATTTTTATAGTTTATGTAGTATTCACCACTTTTTGTTAGTCTGAGTAGGAGACAAGTTTTTGTCCCCCTCTCCCTTGCATTCTGAAACCTATACATCAATTCATTTGCCAAATATTTATTTATTGTTATTATGTGTTTGAAGCAATCATGTAAAGATGAAGAGACAAGGTGCATGTCTTATATCATTCCAGGCTGTATAACCTGGTGATTAGGAGCAAAATCTTTGGTATAATATGGCTTCTCCTTTACTAGCTATGTGACTTGGAACAATATTTAATCTCTCTGTCTCATAGCTTTTTAAAAAATTGAAATATAACTGACATATAATAATAAATTAGTCTTAGATATACAACATAATGATTTGATATTTGTATATATTGCAAAATGATCACTACAATTAGTTTAGTGAATGTATCATGATTTCCTCATTTGTTAAGGGGATGATAGAACCTACCTCACAGAGTTATCATAATAATTTAAAAGAAGAATATATTTACTTAACATGATAGCTCTCACATAGTTGGTACTCAGTTAATTTTAGCTACTATATTTACTCTACTGACAAATGTTAGCTTCTATATTAATAAATATTAGCTATTATACTTATTATATTAATATATATTAGCTATTATATTCACTATCATATTATTAAGATCATCATATCCTATTAATTATTGTTCATAACATCTTTCATATTATTTTTTTTTGCAACAGCTTTAGTGAGACCTAATTTATATACCTTACAATTCACCCATTTAAAGTGTACCACTTAGTGGTCTTTGGCACATTCAGAGCTGTGCAACCATCACCACAATCAATTTTAGAACTATTCATTACTCCAGAAAGAAAAGTCTATCCTTTAGCCAGGACTCTATAATCCCAGAAATCTTCCAGCTTTAGGTAGCCACTAATATACTTCCTGTCTATAGATTTTCCTATTTTGGACATTTCACATAAATGGAACCCTATAATATATGACTTTTGTTACTTGCTTCTTTCACTTGGGGTAATGTTTTCAAGCATCATCAATTCTGTAGCATGTACTAATACATTCACTTCTAGTCATTATTTTCTATTATCAATTTCCCACCATCTCTACGTTCTTATTTTATACTTCTTGTCTCTAGACATATGCATTTATCTGCAGTCCCACCTGACTCTCCTTTACATAGATCAAATATTCGAAGGACTTCATCCATACATATGGTTGCAACCACTGCCTAATTCTTGATCCTCAAATCTCTATTTTTAGTCCAGATTTCTCTCCTTGGCTATGCCATGATCAAAACCAATTTCCAACTGAATGGTTTCATATGCACTTGAAAGTATCAAGGGCACCTCAACTTGCATATTCCTAAAAAGGAATTCCTCTTCTCTATCCCTTCATGAGTTCCATACTTGTATTTTGCTTTGATAAATGACTCAAGCCAGAAAATTAAAGATATCATACAATATCACTCTTTCCTATTTCCCATATTCAAAATTGATCACTATGTTCTGTTGATTTTATCTTAATATTTTTTCTTAAATCTATACCTTTTTCTTTCCTTCATATTAGTTGAGCTTGTGGTCATCTCTCACCAGAATTATTACAATATTCTTGCAACAGGTCTCCTGGCCCCTAACTTACCTCCTTCCACTAAGGAGGTTTTCACCTACACTGTTACCACAATTCTTTTCCTAAAATGAAAAACATGCCCTTCCCTACTTAAATGCTTGATCTGTCACTCTCCTTAGCCTCATGTCTTGCTAATCTTTAGCCTGTACCCCATGCGTGTGGACCTCTTTGGACTCCTCAAAAGTGTTTATCTTTCTTATTCTTCTGTACACGCAATTGTACATTGTACATGCAATTTCCACCTCTTCCCCAGGTACTTCTTTCCTCATCCTCTCTTCTTCCATTTGCTCAATTCCGATTTAAGTTTTTTTTTTTTTTTTTTTAAGATTTATTTATTCATTTGAGAGAGAGAGAGAGCTAGAATGAATAAAGTTGGGGGGAAGGCAGAGGGAGAGAGAGAATCCCTGCTGAGCACAGAGCCTATTGCGGGGCTTGATCTCACAATTCTGAGATCAGAACCTAAGCTGAAATCAAGAGTTGAACGATTAACTGACAGCCACCCAGGTGGCCCTCCTACTGAAGTTTTAAGGCTTAGAAACTGGGCTAATTTTTTTTTCACCCTGCAGTTTGGTTAGTTGCTCCTACTTTGAGCTCATGTAATGCCTCATGCATGCCTCAGAGTACTTCGTAGCACTGTAATTGACTGTAACTTCTCTGACTCCCAGTGCAAGATAAACTTTTGAGAGTCAGAACTATATTCTTCATTTCTATATCCAGGGTCTGACATAGAGCCTAACACACACAAATAGCTACAGAATTAGGTTCAGATCATCACAGACATCATCTCGATGTACCCCACTCTATGCTCTACCACATGTGATTTAAGTTAATGAGTTCTTCAAATTTTTGTTCAAATTGTTTCTTTCCCTTGGGAAGTTCTTCCTTCTTTTCTTAATCTATTTAATCCTGCTATTGGCAAGGCTCAGTTCAAATCCCACTTCACCCTAACCTCCCAGTTGGAGTTGTTTCAGTGTTCTTACTCCTGAGATCATTTATAATCTGTAATGATCACTGAGCAATATTTGTTCTCTCATAAGTGATCTTTTCATTTGTATGGCTCTGATGGCTCCAGTTGGATTGTGAGTCTTTTGAGCTCAGGCTGAGACCATGACTTCTTCCCTGACAGTGCATAAGAAGGAGATTGACATACTTCTAGTTTAGTATTTAAGCAATTTATTTAACAGGGTGACATTGATGAGGGAGCAGGAGGCTGGCTGAAGACAAAGCAAAAGCTGGCACCTTGCACCCCCTCTCCACCCGCTCCCCTCGGTACTGTGTGTGACATTCCTCAGGCACCCCTGACTGCCATAAATGAGAAACAAATAGTTAACTTGCAGAGATCACAATCCTGCAAAACAGAGTATCCCTTGGTTTACAAATGTCCTAGAGATCTAGAAAGAAGTTACCTTATCCACAGCACAATTTCCAGAGGCAAATAACTCAGTTCCTCAAGCCCTAAATAAAATTAAATTTCTTCTAAACCCAAATCTCACTAACAAAGACACTTGATAGCAGAAATGTGAATGGCTTGCCAAAAGACAACATTGTTCAAGCCGCAAGGCCTCCGGTATCCCAGCACCTTGTAGGCCCTCTTTAGCATATGAAAGTTCCATTGAAACCTCCCTTCCCCTCACCTTCCCCCAACGGCAAGGTACAGAACTTGCCATCTCTCACAACCCGGGGCAGCAGCTCTTCCTGCCCATGGGTCCTGTCCCCGTGCTTTAATAAACCACCATTTTGCACCAAAGATGTCTCAAGAATTCTTTCTTGGTCATCGGCTCCGGACCTCAGCCCACCAAACCTCACCTAGATTCTAGAACTTTTATCAACATGACTTTTGGAGCCAAGAGTCAGAATAGTACTTAAAGTTTACTTGTGGTTGCCATTTCCATAGCAGAAATAAACTTCAGAATGATAGTCCTACTTAGTCTCATTTTACCTTTTCAGCAATTCTTGGGACCATCTTTTACAGATGAATAAATGAAAGTAAAAAAGACATAAAATATTCAATTAAAGGGGTGACAGCAACTCAGTGACAAAATTACTTCACTGTGTGGAAAATAGCAGATAGTGCTAAAAGTATTATTAATAGTACCCTAAAAGACTAACATTTACACAGGAAGTTAGAAAGCATATTTCCTTTTTTCTTATAAAGTTGGGATGTATTAGCAACACTTACTGTGCATTTATTCATTTAGAAAATATTGAAAATCTACCAGGTTACAAAACACAGATAGAGTTTCTAAACTCTGTCATGAAAGAATATCTTAGCAGCATTTGAATTGTCGTCTAGAAGGTGGATTGATTATGATAGTCTGAACTTTTAAGAATATTTTAAATGCCTCTTTTAAACAATTGACCCTACTTTTTTCATTAGAAGAATCCTTGAAATGGCTCCTTACCTCTGCCTGTGTTGCCTGTATTTAAAGGTGTTGTAACTCTGGGATTTCTAGCACCGGACTTACTGATCATTCTCTATGTGAAATTCTCTCTGTTCTTGGTTATCCTGGTCACCGTGGGATTCATCTACTTCAAGAGAGCAAATGATTGCAGGTAGGAAAGGAAGTCTAAAAAAATAAAGATTTATCAGAAAGAAATCATCATCGTAAGGCTTTAAGTTTACAATGTCCTAGGAACAGCATGGTGCATTTTTTTTTTTTTTTTTTTTTTGCACATGTTTGTTCCCCTAGCCCTTTCTTTGGTATATAATCTTTGTTAACACATGGAAGCCCAGGAAGAGACGCCTGCAGCACTGGGGCAAAAGCTTCTATTTCATTACAGTACTTTCCTGAGAGAGACCCTGTCCTGGGGTACTCTTCAAGAATTCTGTGGGGAAATGAAGTTCAGCTGGTGCTTCTTAAGTGTTCACTCCCTAGTTTCTCTGTCTCTGAAGGCTTGTATTCATTGTGCTAATTATATATTTTATGTTTTTTTCATAGTGCATGAAAATTAAAAAATCTGGAAGTCAATTTAGATTTGATGAGACATCATGAAGATCAGACCTTGGGTTTAGCATCTAACTCAACTGCTCCTGTTACTATTTGCTACCTATGTGTTTATGTGAATCACTGTGATAGCTGTCAAATCCTGTTTCAAACGCTTAGCAAACATGTATTTATACATATGCCAAGGCTTGCTGCCTGCCATTATAAATGCCTGAGATGACTCATCTACATTCCCCTTCGCCGTACTGAGTTCTTATTTGCAAACAAGAAATAGCCCAGCTTCTTAGCCTAAAGAGGAAGATGGCTCAGGAAATGGCAAATTACAATGCTTTGCAGTTTTTCTACACCCCTTTGGGTTCTTTGGATAGTGCTTTCATCCTTGTTTCTTGTTTCCTCTTGTTTCCTCTGCCCTTTTAAGATGCTAAATAATGTTGCAATGTCAGAAGCTACTACAAACACTGCCTTGTGGTTGACCTGTAGCCAACCTCCCATCCCTTTCTTGCTTGCTAGCAATTAGTACATGTTTGGCCTGATTATTGAATAAATGGCCAGAAGTCATTTTTAGTAGTGCCTTTATTGCTGAAGGAATTTTAAGTGGATCCTAAATAAAGAGCTCTTAGAGTCATTGGAGACTATGCTGAATATAACCTCACTTTTAGAGCTCCACTGTCTCAATTCTCTCCCATCTGTACTCCAGGTTGGAATGAATTAATGGTAGGAAGGGTAAGAGTTCTTGGTGAAACCCCAACATCTAGGGCCACTGTAAACTGGAACCTTATCTTCATTGGTACACATGGTAGTCCTATAGTAAAAAGTATCCTTTTGTTTAAAGGAAAAATTTTTTGTGTAAGGTGGCAGGTGATTAAGAAATTACTTTTATTTTTAGCAAGTCTCAGAAGGAGAAAATGAATGCATACTACTATCTGGAAGATAATATATAAGTAAGATAGTCTAATTGTTGAAACAAACAACATCCCAATCTCAGTGTATTCATACCACGTAAGTTTAATTTTTGCTCACTTCATATCATAGGGCAGGTTGGTGGATCTAGGGGAGGGAACAGGAGTGGTTCTGCTCTAAGGTAGCACTTTATCCTATAACTCTGCCGTTCTCAGAGTGTTCTCCATTCAGCTGGTGAATGGGAAAAAGAGAGAATGAGGGATTTTATATAGGTTTGTATGAGCAGGGCCTGGAGTAGTAAGGACATTTGCTCATTGTCTATTGGCTAGTATTTGTCACATGGCCACACTAACTTCTGTGGAAGTTGGAGAGTGTAGTGGAGCTGCCTCAGTAGAAACAGAGTCAGGGTTTGGGTACAGATAGCTAGTAGATAGCTAGTTTCTGCCTATAGGAAAGGAAAGGACAAGTGTTAAGATTAATACCTACTTCATTAGTAACTGAACATGAGCCAAGAAATAAACTAGTACATATTTTCATTTATAGTTTATATTAGTTCTTTTCCCTCTCTCTCTCTTTTTAATTTTAACTCGTGCATGTTTAAAACAGGGCATAGGATGGAAAAAAAGTCTAGTGCCATCATTCCATTATACACTCAAAAACACTGTGATACTGGTTGCTAGCTGCCTGAGCCAATGCTAATCTTCCCCTTTCTCTTAGTAGTAGAAGATTGCATTCTTGACTCCAGATCTTTCCGCCTCCCTCTATCCATGTAATTTGTCAGTAATTTTTGAGTTGGAAACATAAAGCAAGTACATGTTTCTCTAACTCATGTAATTTGCTTTAGCCAATCAAATGAGGCAGAAATGGCAGTGTACCGAGTTTTGAGCTTACATCTCAAGAAGTCCTGTGTATTTCTGTTGCTAGTCCATGAGAAAATGCCTGGGCTATTCTGCTGGAGGTTGAGAAACATGTAGAGCAGAGCTGGGTCTTCCTAGTTCCATTCGCCACTTCACTGTTGAGGTCAGCCTAGATAATGCAACAGTTAGTCATCTCTTAAACAAGGGAGAACCTCAGTCAAGGTCAGAAGAGCTGCCGACCTGACCCTCAGATGATCCTAGACATTTAAGCAATTGTTGCTACAGAGGTTTTGTGATTGTTACACAGCATTATTGTGGTAATAGATCCCTGATACAGTGCTTAATAACATGACTCCAGTTTTATTTTGTAAGGAGACACACTTAACTGTAAGACATTTCTCAGTTTCCATTGCAACTGAGTATGACTATGTATTAAAATTTTCGCAAATAAGGTGTAAGCATGTAACTTGTGTGATATTTTTAGGATATCTTTTTAAAGATAAAGAAGAGATCCTCTTTTGCTTTTTCTCCTTATCTTCTGGACTACAACAGTGGTGTAATGACTGGAGGTCCAGCAGCCAACTTGAGCCGTGGATGACATTGAGGATGGAAGCTACTCAATAAGATTATGGAAAAGAAAGAAGTTTCCTGGGTCCTAATACATGGACTTGCCATACTAACCCTAGAATACCTACCATAAGATTATTATTTTTTTTTAAGATTTTATTTATTTATTTGGCAGACAGAGATCACAAGCAGGCAGAGAAAGAGAGAGAGAGAAGCAGGCTCCTCACCAACCAGAGAGACCAATATGGGGCTCGATCCTAGGACCCTGAGATCATGACCAGAGCTGAAGGCAGAGGCTCAAGCCATTGAGCCACCCAGGCGCCCCTTACCATCTTTATGTGAGAGAAAATACTCTATTGTGTTCGTGCCACTGTTATTTTGAGTTTTACTCAATACAAAGTTGAACTTAATCCTGGTTAACACAAGTACTTACTTTGCCAATTTCAAAGTTTGCTACTAATCTTGCAACACATATTATACTCTATTCATGTGCATTTTTCATATTCTATTTTCATTCTTCCCATAGAGATTATGAAACAGATGTAACTTCAGAAGGTAATAATCATAGGTATAAGAGCTATCTCTGTGATAGTTCCAGAAAAATTGTTGGTTGTATAAAACTGAAGGATACTGTGGGCTTGTTATAGGAAAGGCTTGGGAATCTGGAAATGTGCAAAGATCATCTAATAGTCAACCAATCCCTACACATGTGAGGACATGTCTACATTATAGGATTGGGAAGATAAAGACACTGTTCTGGACTCTTAGAGAGGATCTGATCAGAAGAAACAGAGGAACTGAAATCTATAGGGCTTTATTATGTTAATCCTTTTTACTCTCCATTATTCCTGGAAGAGATTTATCTGAATTCATGCTTCTTCACTGCCATGATTTTCTGTGTGATATCAGACTAGAAGAGTAAAAAGCTATAGCTACTGTCTCTCAACCTCTTAGTTCCACATAAAGATAAAAAAATAAAATTTTCTTTGCTAAATACATATATGCATACATATATACATGCACAACAAATTAATTGTGGTCCTAAACTGAGGAAAATTGGGAGCAAAACCTTTAGCAAAACACAGTTGAGAACCACTAGATGGTGCTTCAACTTAATTTCTTCAACATTTTGAAGCAAGCTAAAATCTAGCCTTGGATAGTAATCCTGCATGTTTTCTTTAATTTTTCCATTCAACTGCTTCTACATTTATTAATTCTTTAGGTTTTCTTGGGTAATTTTAGGACAATTACAGAAGGAAGAAAACCATTGTTAAAATTAAAGAGAAAAAATAAAAATGTTTGGTTCCCAAACTTGAATTGTACTACTCCTGCCACTTAATTTTGGTAGAAATAATTTGTTTATCAAACAAGAGAAGGATGGGTAGTAATAGTCTAGTTTCAGGGAAAGAGGAAATGTGAGAATATTTTGGTGGTTAAACCAAGATCAGTACTCACTTATTTCTTAAATGGAGGGTTGAGCTCTTCAATCACTAAAGAACAAATAGCTGCTGGTTAGTGTTAACAGCAGCAGACCGTTTGAGCTACAAATAAAATTAGCTGGCCTTCTCTACTTCTTGGGTCCAACCCCATTTCTCATGGCCCAAGACTTTTAGAGGCCTATGTGGTATTTTAAAGCTGGAAGGAAGCTACAGATAAGTAGACCAACTTCCTCGTTTTACAAAAAAAGGAAACTAAGACATTCAGAGTTAACTGACTGTCGGGTGTCACTAAGAAACCAGCTGAAGTGTGGACCTGCCTTGCTTGCTGATGAGAGCATTCACACAGTGAACTTTACAGTTTGTTTTGTTTGCAGTGAGAGTTGGGGTTCAAGAGGGAATTTATGGGGGTCTTCAAAAGGGTGACAAAATGAAATAACACATGAAATATCATGAGACTAATTATTATCTTCAAGGAAGGATTGGATATTCTCATTAAAAATTGAGCATCACCACATGTCAAGGATATCACATTTAAGCTTTCTTTCTTTTTTCTTTTTTTTTTTTAAAGATTTATTTATTTATTTGAGAGAGGGGGAAGGAGGGAGAGAATCTCCAGCAGACTCCTGGCCAAGCACAGAGCCAGACGCAGGGGTCGATGACCCTGAGTCATGACCTGAGCTGAAAATCAAGTGTTGGACACTTAACCAATGAAGCCATATTTAAGGTGTCCCCACATTTAAGCTTTGAGAATACAATTGCAATGGAGAGATTTTAAAAATTGCTTGTTTAAATCTTACTTCAGTCCTTCCTACAATTTGGAAGCAGGAAGAGACAAAAGAGGAAATTTTGTCTGTTTAGTGAAACACACCAACAGATTAGAGAGGAAAGGTAAAGCTCAGGTCATAGAATGCATTGGGAATTCCAAAATAAAGGGAACTAAAATGGTCAGCATAATTTTTTTTAAAAAGTGTTGCTTCTGGGCTTCAATGATGTGAATCTGGGGACTCTTAAGGAATCAGGTAAAAGAAATAGACTAGATCTTAGCTACAAAAAGAAAATTGGGTGGTTGTAAATTCTCCGTGACAGGGTAGCTAAAGAATTCTTGAATTAAGGATGCTTCTCTGTTGGCATTGAGTTAAAGTCTGTTACACACAACAGTCTTCATGTGATTAATGGTGATTTAGAAATGAAGGAAGAAGGAACCCTACCCACATCCTGGGGAAAACAGTACATGGAAGGCAGAAGCTGGCAGCTCAGGTAATGAGAAACCAAGGGTGATCAAGAAACTGATCTGGAATTTAAAGTTTGTAGTATGAGATAACAAGAAGCCAGCAAAGAAAGGCAGACCATGAAAACCTAGTACTGATGCTGTAATGGAGGTAGGTACACAGTGCCAGAGCAATCAAAGGAAGGAATACTCAATTCTGGCTGAAAGTGTGGGTTGAAGGTCAGGAAAAGCATTGGATGAATTAGGGAGCTTCTAGCTGCAATAAACAGAAAGTAGGGTTCTAAATGAATAAAACATTTATTATCTTACATGAGAAGGTATCCAGAAGGGGAGCCTGGATGGCTCAGTTGGTTAAGCATCTGCCTTTGGTTCAGGTCCTAATCTCGGGGTCCTGGCATTGAGCCCTCTGTCGGGCTCCCTGCTCAGTAGGGAGTCTGCTTCTCCCTCTCCCTCTGCCCCCTCCCTTGCTCATGCTCTCTCTCTCTTTCTCCCTCTCTCGTTCTTTCTTTCTCAAATAAATAAAATTTAAAAGAAGAAGAAGAAGAAGGCATCCAGAAGTAGAACCAACTTCAAGTTTGGTTGTTTCAATGGCTCTATGAAATCTTGACGGGCCTGGATTTTATCCTCATCTGTG